AGTCGGGAGGGGGGGAGTTATTGAGAAAAGAAAGGTCACCTCCCCCTTTAAGGGTGGCCATTTTGAACTCTGTTCTCCACAGCACACTGGTGTGCCATGGAACACAGTTTAAGAAACACTGTGCTAGAGTCAATGGGAGCTGTGTACACATCTGAGAGCAGCACTTGGCCTTTACTACTATGATGGTAAACATCCAATGCTACACCAAGCAAGTCAAATGGTCCTGCCCCATAGTTGATTTTATTCTAATTTTAGATTAGCCACAAAGAAGTTCTACTCAGAAAGCAACACGCAAGAAAAAACATCTGAGTAAGCACTGACACATGCTTTGTTTTCTGTCCGTCCAATACAAGATTATTTCTGAATTCAGAAGCAAATTTAGCTCATTTTGACCAGACTATCCAGTTAGTAATTTTGAAATTTTTAATGGTCACATAGAGTCCTACATCTGATGAATGGTCACTGTGTGAACATGTCCTCTTTCCCATGCATACAATGTACCAAGACAGTTCCATGCATTTAAAGACCAGGGTAGTTTCAAGCCAGACAGTATTCCCAAGGCATTTCATAATAGCTATTGTATATGCTTTAAAAGCACCAGCAACTTCCTTAATGGCATTTCCTCTAAATTTACACTTCAGCAATCTCACCCTGAGATAACCATTCATTGCTAATTCCTGGATGTGGTACACCCACATGGCCAGCAGTACTAAACACGTTTGAAGTTAGGAACTTGCAGGATTAGAAGGAAGACTTTTGAAGATCTAGAGCAGTGTTTCTTAAACTTTTTAAGACCGAGGAACACCAACCAGTAATTTTTTTTAATCCAGAACAGCAAGGATTTTTTTAGCCCCCTCCCCTCCCAAAATCAGGGAAAGTTATTGAGCACCTCTTCTCCCCCACCCCCAAAAAGGGTCAGGGTAAAGTTGCTGAGGGGCCACCTGCCCCTTTAAGGGTGGCCATTTTGAACTCTGTTCTTCTGTTCTCCGTGGCACGCTGTTTAAGAAACACTGATCTAGAAGCAAATACTTTTGAAACAGCAGGGATATATCAATCAATTCCCAATATCCACACAAATGCAGAGCAAACTGCAATAGCAAAAGGGTTATAAAGCAAGTTTTCCCTCTAAGTATAGTTCTAACAGGCATCTATCCATGACGCTAATCTAATGATTTGACAGAGATTTTGAATAAGATGGAGTCTTGGG